TGTGTGTGTGTGTGTGTGTGTGTGTGTGTGTGTGTGTGTGTGTGTGTGTGTGAGAACTGGTTTGTATCACTAAATATCACTAACCACTGTGTTGCCTCTGCTTTGTTTTTTATGCTGAAACTGTATGTTTTTGAAGTGTCTCCCCCTCTGAACGCCATAACATTCTAACCTCACTAACCTGATTAATGTGTGTGTTTGTGTGTGTGTGTGTGTGTGTGTGTGTGTGAGATAACTGCTGAGGAATTTCAATGGCCTCTAAGCCCTCAGAGATCTCCTCCTCACCTCCTCCATCCATCTCCCTCTGTTTAACTGTCTGCCTCTCCATTTATCAGAGCCTCTGGCCCGGTCCGGCCCGGCCCGGCCCGTCTCGGCCCAGCCTGGTCCCTGCTCGCTCAGCTCGGTTCAGGTGAGTCTGACATTGTGACTGCAGCTCAGCCTTCAGTCACATTAAAGAAGCTCTTCTGTTGGTGTGTGAACCAAGGATCGGAGCAGCTCCTGCAGCAGTAGAACCTTTAGAACATGGACAGTCAGTTCTGGTCCTTCAGGTGAAGGTACTTTATTTGTCATCAGTGCATGTTCCCATGTAATGATGAAATATGTGCTCTGCATTTAACCCAAGTGGAGCAGTGGGCAGCCATGTGAGGCGCCCGGGGAGCAGCCGGGCTTTGTGATGTTCATCTCTTTGATCCACATCAGGATGATCTCTGACAGATGAACATGTTCATCATTCTGCAGGTGTCTGCAGCTCTCAGCCTTCTTTTCATCTCTCCTCTTGTAAACAGACACAGATCCACCTGCAGACATGAAAGAGAACCAGAGTCTGTCCAGCAGAGTCCTGGAGAGCAGCCGAAGCTTCACATCAGCTGAAATAACATCTGAAGACTTCTTTAGCTGCTACTAAAGGTAAATTTGTTTCATAAATTGTTTTTATTTTCAGTGTAAACTTGAATAATGTGCTGCTGAATGCTGACTGGTGGCTCTGCACACACTTCCTGACTCAGTCAGCAGGAGGTTCAATCAAAGCCTGAAGCTGCACCTTCATCAGAAACTCTGTGATGTCATCAAATCAAACACAGCTGCTGCTCTCCTCCAGCAGCAGGACCTTCTCCACCTTCCATATATACTTAACTTATTTTTACCTCATCCTGCCCCATCATTTACTCACTCAACTGAAAACTTCAGCTAAGAGGCGAAGCAATCAAAGAAACTCGACCTTTGACCACACGTTTAACTCTGAGGGTCTAAGTTATGTTTTTAAACAGATTTGTTTGGTGCATTTATAGCTGCGCAATGAGAACAAAATAAGCTTTAAAAGCATTTCATGAACCAGCTGAAGGACCTCCAGGAGCTCGTCAGATTATAATCTGAAATCAGGACTTCCTGTTTGGATTTAAAACATCTAAAACTCTCATTAAGGGCTGAAGATGTCTTTAAAAATCACAGTGTTGCTGCAGCGAGGAGCTCTGAAATCTGACAAATCAAACCTTTACTCAGCAGCAGTTTGGATCTTTACTGAAATGACTCAACATCTGGAAACATCTGGTCAGAAATGTTCAAACATGACGGGACGACAGCTGGAAACACGGCTCATAAAGAAGCAGCAGAACAACCAGAACAGAAACAAAAAGGTTTTATGATGTGGCTGTGAGAGGAGAACATGTCTGTCTGGTTCAGGAGAAGAGAAATCACACAGAAGAAGAAAAGGAGGAGGTGTTTCTGAGAGGACGGAAGCAGAGCAGGTAAACTGTTGTGAGTTTCAGTCCAGGCAGGATAATGATGGAAGGTTATTCAGCTGCAGGATGAGCTGCAAGAAGCTAAATATGTGGAGGAACTCTTCATCAGCTGAGGAGGAAGCAGTCAGACCTGAAACATCATCATCTTCATTCAGAAAGAAACACAAAAAAAAATCATAAAATCAATATTTTTATGTTTTTGGTTTGTAACTCTTGATTAGAATGAAGACAAAAACTGATCACATCAAGAGTCTGATGGTAGGTACCAGGACCACCAGAACCAGAACGGTTTATCAGTTTGATAAAAATCTGATGATGATGTCATCGTCCCACCTGTAACCTGACCTCTGACAGGTGTCAATCATTGTCCCTCACGTCAAACCTCAACAATAAATAATCCTTCATGTCTATATTGTAACATATACTTGATCAAATTAAGTAAAATTTACCTAATTTATTCATGAATCTTTAACTATATTCTTAATAACTTTTACTAGATGATGAGTAAAAATAACTTGAATTTGTAGCATTTAAATTTACTTAAACAGTAAATCTTACAAGTTCTTTATAACAGTGCACATGCATCAAGCACAATATTGTAGCATGACACCTCACAGCTACAGGGAGAGGTGTAGCTCATGTTGTAGTTCAACACTTCACCACCAGGTGGCATCTGCATGTATGACAAGCACATTATTATTAACTAGAATAGCTCCTTCATTTTATAATTAGTTTGACTTTATTATTTGTAGATCACTGTGCTCTACTACTATCCAAAATTCCTAAAAGAAATCTCAGAGTTATGGTTCATTTAGCATGTTAGCTATGGAAGCCATCTTGGATTTTTTAATTTGGTCAGTATATGATGGGAATCATTCTTAGCTACCACCACACACAATTTCAGCCCAAAATGTCTTAAAGTGACTGAGTTGTTGCAGTTTCAAACTAGCCCTGGCAGCCATTTTGAATATTTATTCAGCATTCAGAATTTGGCAAAGCTTGTTCTTGGCTACTAATATATTAGATTTCTGCTCTGTGTGTCTTAAAATGGCTGAATTCGAGCTTCTTTAAATTAACATTAGTGGCTAGCTTAAAGTTCTGTTTAGCATTCAGAATGTGTTGAGTTAGCTCTAAGCTATCACTCAACCTAATTTCAGCTTTGTATGTCTTAAAACTGCTGAGTTGCGTTCCATGTTGGGTTACGTAAAGTCTTTGTTTTGATACTCACGAAGCCGTTCTGCCCAGCAACAGCCTCAGCCAATCAGAAGGCCTGATTGTGATGTTGTTACAGGGCGGGGCAGCTGAAAGTTATGTTCAGACAACCAGCTGCTGTGAGAAAACTATAAGGTCTGTTCAAATAATTCTTGAACTGTGAGCGACAGAAGAGATTGGGTTTTACTTGTGGAAATGTTCATATTTGTACAGCCCTATGTCTCAGAAATATGATGGGTTTAAAATATCCATCCATCCATCCATCCATTTTCTTCCGCCTATCCGGGGTCGGGTCGCGGGGGCAGCAGCTTCAGAAGGGAGGCCCAGACCTCCCTCTCCCCAGCCACTTCTTCCAGCTCCATCCTCCTTTAAAAAATCCATCCATCCATCCATCCATTTTCTTCCGCCTATCCGGGGTCGGGTCGCGGGGGCAGCAGCTTCAGAAGGGAGGCCCAGACCTCCCTCTCCCCAGCCACTTCTTCCAGCTCCATCCTCCTTTAAAAAATC